ATCAAAGACTTGTAATAAACGAACAAGAACCTGGAAATAACGAATTGAATATTCTCGTTTTTTTCCAAGTAATTTATTAACATTTTCTTGGTAGTTTGAAGTTTCTTTATCCCAATCAATAAGATATCTTTTAATACAAGTAATAGCTAATAAACCAATATTATGAGGTGCGTACATTAATTGAATTGCATGAACTGAATGTGTTTCATTTAAACATTTATTATTAAAAATTTTAAAACAACGACCAACTTCTATTAAAAGGTCATATTGAGAGTCTAAATAACATTCTGTTTGTGGACGTTGAAGACATAAAGAAATAGGCATTAAAACTCTTTCTGATAATCCTAATCCAATTGTTTGATATCTAGCTATTTTCATATAAATTCTAAATATTTTTAATAAAATACAAAAAAAATATGCTCGGAGGGATTTAGATTCTTGTATAACATTTTCCCATGATATTAATATACTAACAATAATATTTTCTTGACTTGAAATAAATACATGTTTAAAATATTCTTCAAGATTAATAACAACTGTAGAAAATGTTAGTTTAAATTTTAATGATATACTAGTCACTAAAAGATGACAAATTTGTTTCATTAAATCTCTATTCCTTTCCATAACAATACTCATTCCTATAATTTTCATTAATTCTTTTAACTCTTTTAATTCTTCTTTATATATTCCTTCATCTTCAGTATCTCTAACTATTCTTTTTTGTTTTTGTAGTGTAACACCTGTTTGATCTACTTTAAGAATATAAGGAAGACTTTCATTAAAAAATGCTTGGGCTAATCGTTTAGCTTCTGTTCTTATTTCATTTTTTGATCCTGATAATTCTTCTGTTAATTGTTGTGAAATCCCTCCTTTAAGAGGTTTACCAAAATGTTTTGGAGTGATAGCACGTTGAAAACTTCTACTTTGTCTTCTTAAGAAAGTATCATCTTCTTGAAACATTGGACTTGAGAAGAAGATAGACTTTCGTTTATTTTGTATTAATGGGTATGACGACTTATCAAGTTCTTGAGAAGAATTTTTTAAATAAGAACTATTTAAGACAATAGTTTTAATTGAAGGAAGAGCTTGTTCATCAAAAAGATATCCCCCAAAGAGAGATTCATGAATTTGATGAAGCTTTTGAGAGAGAGATGATGATATCTTTTCTTTTGTTAATAGAGATTGAATATCATCTTTATAACTATTTATCAAATGACCTAATAATATATAAACCCATGAACATAATGGATGACACCGGATATGATCAAAAAGTAATTTTAATACTTTAACTTTATCATTTGGTGAACAAGAAAATAGTCTAATAATTAATGCTTCTAATGATTCTTCTACTCTTATATCATGTAATTTACATACAACTTTAATGTAAGAAGATATTGAATCAACTATATTATTATGATCAAATTGTTCAGAATAACACAGTTGATTAATTTCTTCTAATAATTGATCAGCTTTATCATTATTATATTGTATTTGAATAATATGTTGTGTAGTGGTTAAATACTTTTTTAATTCACAAATTGATTCTTCAAGAGTATCAAAACGATTAATAATTTCTAAATTTTCATTTATAAATGTTAAAACACCATTTTCTTGATCCAATTCGATTATTTTTAATCCATGAATATTATTACAAAGTAGTCGAGGTGTTTTTAAATCGGGGAAAATAATTGTTTGTTGAGAGGAAGAAGAAGAATCATTAAAGTATTTAGTTTTCATAAGAAATTGAATGAATTGTTGATAAAAAACAAATTGAGTGAATAATGTTTTAATATTATTAATTGTTGTATTTTTAATATCACAAGTAATAACAGGTTCCATTTCCTTTTTTTGAGTTTTCGTTTTGTAAATCTTTGTTGTAACAAAGTCATTTAAAAATGAATAGTGTAATATAAGATGATAATATTTAATGGTCATAATAATTCCTCTATTTTTATAAATAAATAATATTTTTATTAATGTTATTTAAATAACAAACTTTGACGGTTCATTTAATGTTGGATGAAGTACCCAAAATAACATTGATGATGGTGGTAATTTTTTCATTGCTTCATTCATATCATTTTTATTAGTTAAAAATACCACTAATGGAACATCATTAGGAGTAGTAGTAAGTGGTGATGTTAAACTATATCTAAAACTTAGCCGAGGAGATGTCATTTGGATGTATTACAAAATAAATTAATTTTTAATTTTATTTTTTTTAATTTT